AGGGCCGTTTAGGGTTTAGGGTTGGGGCGGCACTGGGGCCAACCCGAGGGTGCTTCATGATTCATGGCATAGTTGGGTGCAGGCCTTTAGAGTTTTAGGTTGTTTAGGGTTCACGGTTTGGGGCCCAGCTATGTTTCCCTAAGGGTCCAAGTACCCATTATTTAAAGGACTTTGGGGCCTGTTTGGGCACTTAAAACCGTAAATAAGGACTACTTGGACCCTTAGGGTTTGTTGTTGTGGATTTGGGGGCGGGGTGCTGAGGTTCAGGGTTAGCTGCAAATGGTGGGGTTTGATTGTAACTTTCGTTTTAGGGGGTGTTGGCCTGCGTAACTGCCCGACAGTAGGATTTGAGGGCCCACGTGGGGGTTTTGACAAAGTCCCTGAATCCTAAACCCTAAGCCCCAAACCCACAACCCTAAACCCAAGTCCAGGAGTTCGGGTTGAACTAAGCAGGCGTCGAGGGCTTGTTCGCCAAAAGCGGGATTCAGGATTAGTTGAGGGCTCTGGGTTTCAGGTCCAGGGTTAATTTCGCTCGCTTTCTGGTCTCCATTGTAGTTCCTTTATGGGGTTGGTTATCTTATAGAATCCTTAATATAGAATCGGTTAAACCAAAAACAGGAACTACAATGGACAGTATAGGAAGGGCTTAAGTTTAAGAATCGGGGCTTTGGAATGAGAGTTCAGGGTGTACGGGGTGTAGGGTGTTGAAGGCTGTATGGTTTGGAGTTCACGGCTTTCCAGCTGATCTTCCCGCAAGCCGTATCTAAATCTAAGCTAGCAGCCGTAAAGCGGGACCCAACCGGAGAGACCTTAGTAGCTGAGTAGGTCGCCTTCAAACCTTTTCGCGTCCAGAGAGCCGTACCTTATCCTAGGGGTCCAAGTATCCACATAGCGGGGTGCCCAACACACCTATGTAAACGAAACTCTCTAAACCTTAGGTTTAAATCGTAAACCGGAAACCCTCGACACTGATCCCTGAACCTTTGACCCTGTATAATATAGGGGCCTAAACAATTACCTATACTATTTTTTGGGGGTTCCTTATTATAGTTAGAGTATCATATACCCCAAAACCCTATTCTACTTAATCAGGCCCCTACATTCCCTAAACCCTAAACCCTACACCCCTGAACTAAAAGCCCTAAACCCTATAAGCCCTAAACCCCCAAACCCTAAACCCCTAAACCCTAAACCCCTAACCCCTAAACCCTAGACCCCTAAACCCCTAAACCGTAAACCCCTAAACCGTAAACCCCAAACCTTCTCATAGAACCAACCTATAGTCTCCATTGTAGTTCCTTTTTGGGGTTAACTTATAGGATCCCCAATATAGAATTGCTTAAACCAAAAACAGGAACTACAATGGAGACTAGAGGTAATCTCTAATCACCTAGGCCCAAAAATCTCTAAAACCCCAAACCCTAAGGCAATAGACCCTAAAAGCCCGCAGGAACTACAATGGAGACCATAGGAAGTTCCGAAACGCAGGAGCCGCCGCCTCACAGCCGCGGAGCGCTCCGTGCGGCTCCGTGCGGCACTGCTTTGGGAGCTGAGGCCGGCGGTTTTGGGTTTAGGGTCTAGGGGTTTAGGGTTTGGGGTTTAGGGTTTAGGGGTTTGGGTTTAGGGTTTGGGGTTTATAAGGCCTACCTAGACACCAAACAACCTGCGTTTTTGAGGACTTATATAAGGAATCATAGTAAGGAGCCCTAAAAAAGGTAGGTTCTTTGGGTCCAGGTAAGGAGTAAACTTTAGGGTTTTTGGGCTTCACGGTTTAGAGGGCTTTACTTGTAGGTTTGTAGGCTTTAGGGTCTGAGGTCTTTGGGGTTTAAGGGCTTTAGGGCTTAAGGGCTTTAGGGTTTAAGGGCTTCAGGGTTAAGGGCTTAAGGGTGATTAGGGCTTAAGTGCTTTTGGGTTTAAGGGTTTAGGATTTCTGGGTTTAGGGTATTGAGGGCTTGGGACTTGCAGCTTAGGGTTTTAGAGTTTCGGGTATTTAAGTTTCAAGTTTAGAGGGTTTACGGTAATTGCATAGGGGTTGTTGGGTGTTTATAGGATTTATAGGGTTCTCGTGTAAGCACAAGGGGCTGGAATTTTGGATGCAGCATTGCTTCGACTTCATCGTGGGCTATTGCGTGGTGCATGTTTGCTGCGCTTCTACAGGATGTGTTGTCAGGTCATGCTTTGTTTCTGATGTGCTTTAGTTGCGCTAGGTATGTCCAAGTGCTAGTACTTCTGAGTTCTACCATATACAGAAGGTATCATGGCCGGAAAAACAAAGCCTCTACCCCGCAAGCCCTAATTCGGGGCCCTTGCGTACCTTACCTAATTGTTTCATCCTCGATACAAGCTCTACACTGTATGATCCTTGTTGCAAAAGCCTCCCCCCAAAACATGTGTAATTTTTAAAGCGCGAAGCCAGCCCATGAATCAGGATACGGATAGAGACCCTCAAGATACCTGTGCTACTCCCTTGTGGTAACCGTTGATTGCTGCAAGGGCGAACTTACCGCACACATACTTTCGAGAACCTGAATCCAGAACATTTTCAGGTGGGTAGTTACTTTACAGGAGCCTTATAGAAGCTCTAGATACCTTATAGAAGCCTTATAGAAGCCCTATATACCCTAAACTCCCCACCTGTAGTTTCATTTAACTGAATACCTAAACCGCGACCGTAGGCTTAGAGCCACAGGATCGGGACTGAGCCTCGAAGCAGTCTGAGTCTGGTCCAAGGGTCGAGTATGTATTGGCCACTGGGTCTGAAGTTGAAAAAGGTCGGGTTTCGAGTTTCGGGTGGTCTTGCATAACTTAATGAGCAATCACCATTGTAGCAAGAAGACCAGCAGTACTCCTGACTAAACAAGAATCTTTACACCCTAAACCCTTTGAGCTTAGATTTCAGAAGCCCGCCCGAGAAGCCTTAACAGCTACCCAGGACAGGGTTTAGGGCTTGAGGGGTTTAGGGGTTTAGGTTGAGGGGTTTAGCGTAGGGGTTTAGGGTGTAGGAGTTTTGGGTTTCTGAGCTGCATGTCGTGCAGGTCCCGCATCAATGAGCTTCACGACGAGATACTGCAGGCTGAGTTCAACACAGAGGTGGCGAAGCGCCACTTGGAACGCCGTCGTTTTGTGTGAATAAGGTCATGGAGTCATAGAGTAAGAGCCCCAAAACTCTAAACCCTAAACCCCTGAAGCCCAAAACCCAAAACCCAAAACCCTAAACCCCTAAACCCCTAAACCCCTAATCCCCTGAAGCCAGAAACAACACATTTTAGGGTCTAGGTGGATCCTTAAGAGCTCCAGGGTTTAGAGTTTAGGGTTTAGGGTTTAGGGTTTTATGTTTGCTCCTGTATTGTTTACGCATAGGCCCCATAGTAGTTACTTTGGGGGCTCATATTCAGAATCCTATAAGGTACTCCCAAGAAGGGCTTGATCTTGGCCGCGAGGGTGCAAGTATGCGCAGAATAGTAGGGTCGCAGGCCCACAATAGAAACGTAGACCCCTCGGTAATACGCCTGCCAAGCCGTTTGCATCTTGAGGAAGAGCCCGCAACCCTAAAGATACCCTTAGCATCAGAATAGCCCAAAAGCCTCATATTATAGGTTCTTTGGGCCCAAAACCTTAAAATATGAGTCCTTTGAGGCTAAGGGATAGGAAAGTTTCTCGGATGCAGCCGTTATGGCTTCCCAGCTGGCCGACCACACCTGCAGAAGGCTGCTGAGCTCATTGTTGGGGGGAGCAACAGTCTCGAGCTCAGGGTCTAAATGTTCTTGTCTAGTCGACTTTAGGGTTTAAGGTTTGGGGTTTAAGGTTTGGGGTTTAAGGTTTAGGGTTTAAGGTTTAGGGTTTAAGGTTTAGGGTTTAAGGTTTAAGGTTTGGGGTTTAGGGTCTACTTTACTATAGACATTGTAGACCCTCAACCCTAAACCCTAAGACCCGAAACCCCTAAACCCTTAAACCTAGACCCTACGAACAAAAAACCCCAAGCATGCTCCGGGTGTGCCTGACCAGCGGCAGCACGGTGGCAGAGTTGAGTGCGCAGGACACAAGTTTGTTGCTTGTAATATAGAAGCTTAAATAAGTACCTATACTATTTTGGGGTCCCTTATAAAAATCATAGTATTCTATACCCCCAAAGCCTATTCTAATTTCTGGGCCTTGAGAGGTTTTGTGTCGTTTAGCGCTGAAGGTGTTCGCAGCCTATCATGGATTTATTTAAAAAGTGTTCTTCTAAAGCCCCAAACCCTAAACCCTAACTAGTCTTGTTGTTCTTTTGTCTTGTGCCTTTGCCCGAGATTTATGCAGCAAGATCCTGCAGGGCTTCAGGGAAAGACCCCTTACAACTCTGTGCCCTACGGAAGGACGTCGCGGGCTTCGCTGCGTCGCATGACGGCTCCTTGGGTCACAGCTTTCAGGGTTTAGGGCCGTAGTGCCCCAGCAACCTTGAACCAGGATGTGCAGCTTAGCGGCTGATAGGTCCTCTATATATATATATATGTATGTATATATAGCGGTTTCGGGCCTGCTAGGTGTGTTTCTGGATAAATAGGGAATCTGCTGATGAGCAGATTCCGGCCGTGTCTGCTCGCACCCTTAAACCATGAGCCATGTGAACTGTATTCACAGACTCCTGGACAAGCAGTATCGAGCAAGGCAGGATTTCGTCCAAAGGCTTCCTGAAGAGAGTATTGAGTGTCTATGACCCATAGCCCCCGTAACCGCAACAGAGCCCATATTATTGATGGACAAAACTCTGCATGACCCAAATATAGTATAGTACCATAAATCCCATAGTTTAGGTATATAAGGTCATGCAGGATTTTGTCCATCAACCGTATTATTGAGAAGTCAAAAATTCGGAGTGCGGG